AAATATGAAAAAGTTGTGAAAAAAATTTCAAACAAAAGCCATGAGATTTTCAAATATTTCTTTAAAGATTTGATTCAGCAACTAAACTGAGCTAAATCCTGACTGGCAACTTTCTGACATAAAAACAAATTTTTGGCTGTCTTTGAGTTCTGCATGGAAAACTTGTCTCAGTGATAACAGAGGGGTTTATTACCCTTTTCCATGGTGTAGTGTCGGAACGGTCGGTGTAGGTACGGGTCGGACCAGTTGGTTTTCCACTGATGTTCCAGTCTGGTTCCAATGGGTGCTTTTTGGGCGGTTGGTGGAGGTGGTTTTTAGGTATTTTTGAAAAAAAAAGTTAATGGGCAAAATGAGAGATGGAAACACATTTGATGAATAACTTTTGAAATTTAAAAAAATTACAAAAAGTTTGAATTAAAATTGGATGGAATCACAACTAATGTCACTGCTACAATTGAAAAAAAAAACGGCTCCTTGAGTTGTTCTTGTAAAGGCAGCTTAGACGCAACCAGTTACTCCACCACCCTAGCCAATCAGTGACGAACAGTGTTCTAACGTCGCATTTTGGTGTCAGCTGGGGCTGCTTGGAACCACAATGAAGTAGGTACTAAAAAAAGGGCCAGTTCCTTGAATCTGGCCTAATGGAAATGGCTTGGAACAGTACCGAACCATATCGACACTACACTAAGTGGCATAGTGGAAAAAGTAACCTGAGCAAGGCAGCATAATAACCCTCAATTCAGTATATTATACCACAGGTAAACATATCGTCATGTATCATCAAAGTAATTAAAAGATGAGGAACTGATTATATAAACAGTTTCAGTTTACTGTCATCATTTACATCTATAACCTGAAGGAATGGAAACAGCTGATCTAGCTGTGCCATAAATTGTCACTATCACTCTTATCTAAGAGGGAAGGGAGATTTGACTGTGTTAATATGACACTTGTAATCATCTAGAGACCTCATACATATGCAAAGAGACACACAATCATGCAGTGGCAGCAATCCAATCATCAACACTTCAGAGCTCACCCACGGGAGGCTTAAATCACAGACACAAACACACTCTGATAAGCCACTGTTTGACCTTGGCCAAAGCCACACTGCTGATGGTGTAAATCTGCTGGGTCCCCGGTGGAACATAGACAAGAGGGGAGAAGCACAAGACCAGTTTCATCCAGTTTCTCAACCAATGAATCACACCTCTGATTGGTACTCTTCATGGCATGAGGTTCTGCAGCGCTCATGTGGTCTTTCTATTAAAATGTCTTACCAGATAAGTCAGTTTACCACCAAACGTAACTTTTTTTGTTGATCAATAAATATAAATAAGTAGAAAAACATTTAAAAGTCAATTGCATTGCTGTATAAAGTAAAAGAGTTATTAAATGATAAAATTATCCAATGCAATGGTTGTTCCTCAGTTAATTTATTGTACTGAAGTTTGGAGAAAAGATATAAAGGAGCTGTAGGAATTTTTAATAAAAAATGATATGGTCATCCAACAAATTCCTTATTTCATCATGTGAAATTATTACAATTTTCTAATTTTGGTTGATAGTGTTACCTTCAAATATTCAATCAAAAATTGTTATGAGAGAAAGTCACTATAGTGCCTTAAGGGAATGAAGATTTTTGTGCAACTTCGATTTCAAACAAGTTTGAAGGAGTTCTGCATTGTGATTCAGGGAATAGGTTTGTGGAACTGTTCAAAAGACCACTAAGTTCAATTTATTGGGGAAAGTATGATACTATGTAGTGTTTCGTGGGGTATTCAAAGG